AAAAAAAAAAAAAAAAAGTTTTAGTTATTCTAGCTCCTTTGCCTTTCCATATAAATTTTAGAATACTCCTGTCTATATCTACCAAAATTCCTTTTGGAATTTTGATAGAAATTGTGTTAAATCTTTATATTACTTGGGACAAATGACATTTTTACTCTGTTGAGCCTCCTAACCCATGGACAGAGCTTGTTTAGGTCTTCTTTGATTTGGTTTATAATCGTTGCATTGTTTCAGCATACAGATCCAGCATATGGGTTGTTAGGCTTATGCCTCGGTATCTCATTTTTTTAGCCATTATAGATAATATTGTGTTTTCAGGGTTAGGGTCCATTATTTGTATGCAGACACACAACTGATCTTTGTATATTTATCTTGTGTCCTGCAACCTTTGTGTATTTATTAGTTCTAAGAGGTATATTGTTTTGTGTTGTTTTTCAATTTCTTGGGATTTTCCACAGAGACGATCATGTCATCTGCAGATGCAGACAGTTTTCTCCCTTCCCTTCCAATTTGAATGTCTTTTATTTCCTTTTTAAGAAACTGTTACTGCTCTGACTAGAACTTTCTGTACTATGGTAAACACAAGTGGTGAGAGTGGACATCCTTGCTTTGTCCCTGATATTAAGAAGAAAGCATTTGTAACTGAGTATCCCAGCCTCAAAATGACCTTTAAATCTTTTTTTCCTTTCTTGCTTTCAGCCTTGAAACACACTTTGTTTCTCTCTTTCCCACCAGGCACTTCTGTAAGCAGTCCTTGCTTATCTAATTACGTGCTTACTTAGAAATTCCAGGGGCCAATTTTGAAACAAACCAGGCAGAGAGACCCAGATGCAGAATCCTCCCACTTAGGGGGAGTTACAGGTAGCCCCCCACTTCCAGGCTGAAGTCAGGATGACGCAAAGCAGACCTCGGGACAGGCAAGTGATGACTCAGGAGAGCCATCAGAACAGAATGCGGATCGACACCCCCTGCCCCGCTCCCACATACTCCCCAAATGTCTTCCTCCTTGAACCCTTCACTCAGCCCAAAAAGTTGGAATGGACTTTTAAAGGCATGGGCCTGGCCATTCCTCAACTGCTAGCATTTGAATAAAGCTGCTTTCCTTCCACCACACTGCTCATGCTTTGACTTCTGAGCAGCGAGCAGCTGGACTTGAGCCAGTTACACATCAGTCTTTCACCAATAGGAATAATGTGGACAGGCGCAGTGGCTCACGCCTGTAATCCCAGCACTTTGGGAGGCCAAGGCAGGCAGATCATGAGGTCAGGAGTTCAAGACCAGCCTGGCCAACATAGTGAAACTCCATCTCTACTAAAAAATACAAAAATTAGCTGGACATGGTGCCTGCAGTCTCAGCTACTTGGGAGACTGAGGCAGGAGAATTGCTTAAACCTGAGAGGCGGAGGTTGGGGTGAGGCGAGATCGTGCCACTGTACTCCAGCCTGGCAGAGCAAGACTCCATCTCGATACATAAATAAATAATAAAAATACAAAAATTAGGTGGGCGTGGTGGTGCATGCCTACAATCCCAGCTACTCAGGACGCTGAGGCAGGAGAATCGCTTGAACACATGAAGCAGAGGTTGCAGTGAGCCGAGATTGTACCACTGCACTCCAGCCTGGGCGACAGAGCAAGACTCCATCCCAAGAAAGAAAAAGAAAGAAAGAGAGAGAGAGAGAAAGAGAAAGGAAGAAAGGAAGGAAGGAAGGAGAAAGAGAAAGAAAGAAGGAAGGAAGGAAGGAAGGAAGGAAGGAAGGAAGGAGGAAAGAAAGAAGAAAGAAAGAAAGAAAGAAAGAAAGAAAGAAAGAAAGAAAGAAAGAAAGAAAGAAAGAAAGAAAGAAAGTTAGCCACAGTTTTTTTGTAGATGTTCTTTGTCAAGTTAAAGTTCTCTTCTGTTTCTATTTTTTGAGCGTTGTTATCCTGAATGGGTGTTGGATTTTGTTAGATACCTTTAACAGCCCAACAGGCATCACCATCAGAAGGAACACAGCCATCCAGAGAAACGTGCCAGGCCACAAAGCACTGGGGACCAGGGATCACGCCCCTCCCATCTGCCATGGGCTGACCCCCAGCCTCCAGCCCTACCATCTCCTGACGGCGTCTGCACCACTGGAAACCAACCAGTATCTAAAAGAACACAGTTGGCGGGCGAGACTGGGACACAGGGTGAGGTGGGTGGACGATGGGAGGCTCCTGGGGAGCAGCCGTCGCACTGAGCGTGGAACCCGTGGGGGAGCCCCGTTCTCTGAAGCATCTGTGCATGTTGTTCCAGCATTTTCTTCAAGGATTGAGCCAGCAGCGCCAGTGTCGTAAGGTGCTTAGATGATTCACAACCAACCAGTGAAATACGAGGTGCCTGGGATACCGTCAACAAAAACAGGAAACAGAGACATCTTCCTGCTGATGTAGAGACACCAGCCTGTCTGCTCATCTCCTGTCCTGAAGAGCCCAGGCCCCACACTTTCCTGCCCGGGGGCATGGGGAGTGGTTTCTGCGCACCAGCACTTGCCGTGGGAGACATGAAGGACTGGGTCACACCAGCCCCTCCTTACAGCCCCCCAGGGTTAGTAGAGTGTGCGTTAGTATTATTTAGCAAGTACCCAAGGGTGTCTGATCTTGGACCACTGAGGCACACCGATGCCAGCATGCCGGCCCAGCACATGCCTGCAGAACGTGGCTCAGCCGTGGGTCCCAGGGCAGATGACGCAGGCCCGGGAACTACCGGGTCCAGGAGGAGAAGGCACAGTTCTTGCTCAGGTTGTCTGGGGATGAGGCCAGCGGAGCCAGGAGCCCAAAGGAGCTCAGCACTCACGAACGCTGAGCAAGGCTGGCAGGTGGCTGTTGGTGCCTCATGCCACCCATTTATCTAAAGGGATAAGATTCAAGGCCTGTCCTGCGGGCTGGGGCCGTCAAAGCTGATGAGAGAGGGGAACGTAAATTCTAACGGGGAGATGGCCGATGAACACGTGCAGGAAGAGATGGACAGAACCATCCAGAGAGATAGCGTGCTCTGAGGACAGCACGGCCTGGCCCGGGTACGGAGTGAAGCGGGGTCGGGGAGGCAGCGTGGTCCCTCGTATGGCCCGAGGAGGCCGTGTATAAACTGACCCTGAGCCACACAGTGGTATCCTCCTCTGCCCCTAGGAGGCTCTAGTGCAGGGTCCGGGGCAGGGAAGATCAGTGCAGCGTGGGACCCAGAGCTTGGGCGCTAGGCTGTGCGGGCTCAGCGGGCAGCAGCCCCACGTCTCTGTGGTTCTAAAGCCCAGTCCCTTTCTCCTCAGCAGGGGAGACGCCCAGTTCCCCAGAGAACTTGCCCAGGGTCCCAGCCGGGGTGCTGGGAGGGCTCAGGGGTGGGAGAGGGACGTCCCAAGGCCGTGGGTTCTCCCTCTGTGGTTCGGGGTGCGGACACACACCACCCTGCCCCGTCCTGGCAAGTCCTCCGGGCTGGTCTGAGTGGGCACGTTCGGGTGGTGCAAACCCTGGGCACATCATGTGTCTTTTCTTCTCTGGCTGGCACTGAACTGCTGCTCACCAGATGCCAGCAATGATGACACTCCCCCTCCCGGATGCAGGACTGGCTGCCACTGTGGGGAGGGGTGACCCGTGCCACGTGCTCCCAGGACACTGGCTAGGGGGCCATAAAGGACACCTTGAGAGAAGCCGGCACAGACTTGTTCAGACTCCCAGTGGCCCGCCGAGGTCGTAAGCATAGAGCTCTGGAGATGAAGACCCTGCTCCTGGGTGTCATGCTCGGCCTGGCCGCTGCCTTGACCTTCGCCCTGGAGGAGGAGGATGTGAGCCGGGCTGGTGTGGGTGGGTGGAGGAGCCAGGCCGACTCCTGGGCGGGGGGCAGCGCCAGGGGCCCTGCTTTAGGAGGTATCAGTCAATGCTGGGTTCTGACCCCATGCTCCCAGCCCGGGGGTCGGGGGGAGGGGTCCCGTTGTTCCTCCAGCAGACACGGCCCCTCCTGGGACCCGGAGCCGGAGCAGGCTCAGCTCAGGGGGTCCTGCTGCACTGACACCTGATCCCCGAAGGTCTCGCGGGGTTGGGCCCTGGGGAGGGAGGGCTCACCTGGTGCTGGGGCCCGGGGTCCATGGGGTGCAGACATGCTTTCCCTCCACCAGAGGCTGGGAGCCCTGAGCCAGGGATAGGGGTGGGGAGGGTGGCAGCCGGGCAGCATGGCTGTCTGATTAGAGCTGCAAGCCTGAGTGCTACCGTCAGGGTAGACTCTGGGCCAGCCCATGGTGGGCTCACGGCCTCGGCCTGCTCCAGATCACAGGGACATGGTATGTGAAGGCCGTGGTGACCGATAAGGACCTTCCGGAGGAGAAGAGGCCCAGGAAGGTGTCCCCAGTGACGGTGACAGCCCTGGACCGTGGGGACTTGGAAGCCACATTCACCTTCATGTGAGTGTCGCCTGCTGTGCGGCCCCTCAGGCTGCTTTCTCTCCCCTCCCGAGACCCACCGGTGCCCATCCCCCATCCCGGTTTCGGGCGTTGGTAAGAATCACCCCCTGCCTTGGAGGGAAAGAGCCAGAGCATCCTAAAGCTTAGTGTGGGGCGCAGGAGGGGGCAGTGGAATTTTCAGGTCACTGGATCACGACCATGCACCAGGTGAGCTGAGGGCGGCCCAGGTGTGTCCTGGGAGCCGCTGCCCGCGTGTCTCCTGTTTTCCAGGAGGAATGATCGGTGCTTCCAGAAGAAAATCCTGATGCGGAAAACGGAGGAGCCTGGCAAATTCAGCACCTGTGAGCCTCCCCCAGCCCCACTGCAGGCAGAGAGCACCCAGGCCACCCTTCTACCAGGGTCCCGGCTCTGCCCACCTCGAGGAGGGGCCGGCCTCTCCTTCCTCAGGGGCTGGTGGCCCTGACATAGGTGTGACAGGCTTGTCCACAGTGGAGACGGACCAGATCACACCTTCCCTCTGGGAGGCCCTAGCCATTGACACATTGAGGAAGCCAAGGGTTAGGGATGGGGAGGCAGAGGGTTGGGATGTGAAGTAGGGCAGGGGCACTGCTGGGGCTGGGAAGGCCGGGCTGTAGTCCTGGACGTGCTCTGGCCTCTGTGGCTCCATTGCTTGGGTTGGGACCTTCCCCGGAGGAAGCTCCTGCCTCAGTGTCGGGGTACACGCTGTGCAGAGCAGCCAGGCCCAGCTCAGACTGTCCGGGGCACCTGGGTGACCACTGAAACATTCCCGAGTGTTCCTTCATGTGGTCCTGAGTGCTTTCTCTGGGAATGAGGGCACTGAAGACCCACCTTCTCTGTCATCTACAGATGGGGGCAGGAAGCTCATATACCTGCAGGAGCTGCCCGGGACGGACCACTGCGTCTTTTACTGCAAAGACCAGCGCCATGGGGGTCTGTTCCGCATGGGAGAGCTCATGGGTGAGGGCCCGCTGGGGCCTGCATGTCCTGACCCACGGTCTCCGCCTCCAGAAGCCAGTGGAACCGGCATCACCATGCCCTGGCATGGGGGAAAGGGGAAGCCCCCTGCACTGGCCTTCATGTGCCGGGCACTGAGCGCTGCCCTTGGCCGCTGGTCCAAGTTCCTGAAGTGGGAATGGGGCGGGCCAGGCAGGGACAGACACGGCCCTTGGTGACATGAACCTGCCAAGAGCCACTTCTGGGGTCTCGGGTATAGGAGTGTCATCTTACGGGGGAGGTAGTGTCCTGACAGAGCCCCTTATGGGCCAGGGACCCTCCAGGGCAGGAGAGCAGCCAGTCCCTCTGGGACACAAGGTCCCTCCAGGTGAGGGCTGTGACCCTACAGAGTGGCTGTGGGAGCTGCCCTGGTCCCCTGGGGTTGCTCAGTGGCTTGGATAGTCCCCGCCACTGTCCCCCTTCCTGGGGACCTTTCAGCTGGGCCATGGCCGTCTCCTCTGTCCCCAGCCTCACCCTCAAACTCTGGTCCCCTCTCGGGCCTCCCCTCCCTGCTTCCCAGTGCTGGGCCGTGGCCGTCTCCTTTCTGCATCTGCTGCCTGCAGGGCCAGGCCGCTGTCCCCACCTCAGCTGACCTGGTCACCTCACCTGCAGGTCGGAATCCTGACACCAACCTGGAGGCCCTGGAAGAATTTAAGAAACTCGTGCAGCGCAAGGGACTCTCAGAGGGGAATATTTTCACGCCCCTACAGATGGGTGAGAGGATGTATGTGCCTTGTCCCCCGTCCCCCGTGTGCCCCGTGTGCCTCTCTGTGACCTCCAGTGTCCCATGACCCCCGTGTCCCTGTGTGCCCCAAGTCTCCTCACAGGGGCTCCTGCTTAGCGTCCTCATGGTGGCAGGGTCTGAGCTCTGGGCTGTGACAGGGTCTGAGCTCTGGGCTGTGACGGGGTCTGAGCTCTGGGCTGTGACGGGGTCTGGGCCCTGGGCCAGGGCATCTTCCCATCACTGGGTTTTTCTTGGTCTCTGCAGGAAGCTGCGTTCCCGAACACTAGGGTGAGTGGGTCTTGCTCCCAGGGTTCGAGGGTCCGTCTGCTCTGGCCCCTGCCATCCCACACAGGCAGGGAGACCCCCGGGCCCAGGCAGGAAGTCGGCACCTTGGAGTCTGCCCACCCCGCAATTCCTGGGACTTTTGGGAAGTCCTTTCTTTCACCTGCCCCTGGGCCTGCCAGCCCGAGTGAGGGTCCTCCTCGTCCATCCACAGCGAGGCCACCCTTGGGCTCCTCAGGTGTCAGCTTGGCCCATTGCCCCCTGCACCTGTCCCCACTTGGTCCACTCCCCCTCCCCCACCCACTCAGGATGCTCAGAGGCCTGCCCGGGCGTTGGAGGAGCTGAGGTCGCTCTGAAGCCCCGAGGCTGCCCAGCAATGGCCGATGTGGGGGCTGTGGAGCCTGGGGAGGGAGCTTTGGGCGTGTCCTCTGCCCCACCCTGCAGCCTTCCTGGCCTCTACTCTGCAGCCTCCCTGGCCTCTACCCTGCAGCCTCCCTGGCCTCTACCCTGCAGCCTCCCTGACCTCTTCTCCTCTTCCCAGCACAGTGGTCCCCGGGTCTGCACCTCCAGAGTCCACCCTGCTGCCAGACATGGAGCCCGGGCCGCCTGGACCCACCCTCCAGCCATGAGCCTTCCCTGACCCACCCGCCTGACGCCAAATAAAGAGCTTCTCCCTGAGCTCTGGGTGCCTATCTGTGGGGAGGGAGGGGCTTGTGCTGGCTCCCTGGGAGGCCTGCTGGTGGGGGGAGCCACCAGGGAAGCTGGGAAGACGTTGGCAACCATAAGAGGCATGACGTCCAACAGGCCTGTGGGGCCACGCGGTGTCCTGGAGGGGCCTCCTGCAGAGCCGCCCTCTGGTCTCAGGTTCAGCTTGGGACAGGCAGGGCCCTGGGCAGGAGTGTTTGGGAAGCCAGTGGGGAGGGGGTTAGCGGAGACACAGCATCAGGGCTGCAGCCACGGGGCCACTGCATGGCTCTCGCCCCAGGCTGATCTCAGTGGGATCCTCCGAGCTGCCCCCTTTAGCAGCCTGGGCTCAGTGGCAGCGCTGGAGAGAGGGGCACTGGTGCCTCCATCATCACCCCCAGAGTAAGCAGAGACGGCCCAGGCCTCCAAGATCTTCGACCCACCCTGGCCTTCTTGTGTTTTGTACAGAGCGAGGGTCTGCATGGACACTGGGGCTGTGGGGATTCGGGGAGGCTGGTCACAGTGAGGGAGGAGAAGCCAACGCACTGGGGTGATAAACACGCCCCAGGAGCCACAAACCCAAGTGGAACGGGCCTCCTGGGGGATGAGCCTGCAAAGTGACAGCCTCTTCCAGGGCCACTGGCTGTGTACCAAGTGACCACTGCCCGCTCCTGCTGGGACCAGCAACCTCACCTCCCCACCTCCTGCCCAGATGTGGTTCAGGCAGAGGCTGCAGGGTGGCCCTGAAATGGACCAAGACAGCAGGGCCTAGGCGAGCCGAGGCGGAGCCAGCCTGGGTGCCCACAGGCCACATGTGGGGGACACAGCAAACCCCATCTTACAAAGACAAGGCTCACACTTTGCTGTCACTGGGACTTCAAGGTGACAAATGTCTGTGATACTGTCTAAAAAACAATAAATAATTTCTAGGCAAGAATTTCTAGAAAACAGAAGGAAGTCTTAGAGCAGAAACATTCTTGGTTTGGCAAGGCTCCAGCTGTGGCCGTCGGTGCCAGGCATGGCTGGTGTTCCTCTCCTCCTCCTCGCCGCTGGCCAGGGCCTATGCTGGTTGCTTCTCCAGTGGGATAGCACCGACCTTCACCCCCAGGGTTCTGAGCCCCCGGGTGTGCGCCTTGCAGGTCTGTGGTGCTGCTGTGCCAATTCACAGGCCTAGAGGCACCAGAGGGTGCCCAGAGAACCCCTTAGTTCTGGACATCCACTCCCTGCCCCACTCATGGGACAGTGCACCTGTTGCTTGGTGACAGGAGGACTCACTCATCCGCCAGTTGGTTGGCACGGCTATCATAGTATAGTACAAAAGAGACACAGGCAGAAGTTTAAAAAGTTCTGATTTTGCCAACAAAAGTAAAGGCATCATCTGGCTCGCTCCTGGCCCTGAGGAATGCTGAGCACCTGCCTAGAGGATGCCAGCAGGTGGGGCTGGAGCTGCCCATCTCACCTGGCATTGCCAAAGGCTGGGTGGGCAGACACCCCCAGCCGTCTGAAGATACACCCCCAGCCGTCCGCAGACACACCCCCAGCCGTCTGTAGACACACCCCCAGCCGTCTGAAGATACACCCCCAGCCGTCTGCAGACACCCCCAGCCGTCTGTAGACACACCCCCAGCCGTCTGAAGATACACCCCCAGCCGTCTGCAGACACCCCCAGCCATCTGAAGATACACCCCCAGCCGTCTATAGACACACCCCCAGCCGTCTGAAGATCAGGCCCCAGCAGGAAAGTCCCATAAGGCCCAGGTGAGAACCGGGCAGAGAACATGGGGTCCCGGCCATCTGTTGGACACCATGGTGCTTGCAGGTCTGGGAACAGGCCCTGTTCCTGGTGTTTGTCTACGACACAGCACGCACTGGAGTCCAGCGTGCCGGGATTTACCTCCGCGTTTCCAAGGACCCACTTTACTGGCTGACGCTTAGAGCTGTCTCTAGCCATTCAAACTCCTTCTTCCCTTCCCGCCTCACTGGCTTCCTCTCCGACCTCCTCTCCAGTCTGTGGCTGTGCCACCGTGAGCTGAACAGGGTGCTTTCCTGTGTCATTCGCTTCACACCGGGGATACGGTGAGAGGCTAGGGGGCTGCAGATCACAAAGGGATGCTCCCGTGTGGCACACGTGGGTTTCATCTTCGGAGCTGCAGTTACTTCACACTAAAGTGAGAGGCTGGCTCCACCGCTCAGCCAGAGCGGCTGTGGCTTTCACCTGCGTGCACCGGCACGCTGGCACCACCCTGAGTGTCCCCGAAACGTGTGTCCATGCTGCATGCAGCGCCCAGCACTGCCCTAGATGCCCGACAACACGTGTGCAAGCTGTGCTCCAACTCCCGTGGTTTCCCACACACCCCTGTGATCAATGTGAGATCCGCGACCACGTATGCAGCCCAGGGGCGTCGGCTCCTCTGCGTGTCCCGTTTAACAAACATGCCTGGTGCATCCCCGGCTCCTCCGATGATCCGTGGCAACCAGTGAGCTCTCGGTATTTGCTGAGAGAAATCACAAGTTCGCGAACTGATAAACATCTCTTTAGAGCCACAGTCTCAGACGCTATTGGCCACGTGACTCTCTTGGGGTGACTAAAGCTGCCAAGAAGCCCGGGCTGCGTGTTGCAAGAGCCGTTTCACCGGGAGGGCTCCTTGAGGCTGAGAAGTGGGCAGGGTGCTCCTGCAGGAAGAACAGATGGCATCGAACGGCCTGGAGGGAGACAGCAAGGTACCCGGGGTTTAAACAGAAGCCACCCTGTAAAATTCTTACATGAAGGATTTTTTGTTTTTGTTTTTATTTTTTTTCTTTGAGACAAAGTCTCGCTCTGTCACCAGGCTAGAGTGCAGAGGTGCGATCTCGGCTCACTGCAACCTCTGCCTCTGGATTCAAGTGATTCTCCTGCCTCAGCCCCCCAGATAGCTGGGACTACAAGCACCCACCACCATGCCTGGCTGATTTTCGTATTTTTAGTAGAGATAGGGTTTCAGCATGTTGGCCTGGCTGGTCTCAAACTCCTGACCTCAGGTGATCTCCCGCCTCAGCCTCCCAAAGTGCTGGGATTACAGGCATGAGCCACCGCGCCCGGCCTACATTAAGAATTTAGGCGACCGTACGGTAATGTTGATTTCTCCTTTGGCACAGTTCTATGAATTTCAAGGCATGCATAAATTTGTGTTAACACCGCTATATTCAAGATGCAGAACAGCTTCACCCCCAGATACCTCCCCGTGCTCTCCCTTTATAGACACCTCACCCACCTCCCGGCAGCTGCAGAGGTGTCTGTCACTCCAGCTGTCTTCCTGGGAATGTCAGGTCAGCAGAGCTGCGCCGCGTGTGGCCTCAGGGACCGGCTGCTTCTGCGCAGCGTACGGCCCCCCAGATGCTATGTCTGTAATCTCCAGTGGGGAAGCCACACCTACCTGATGTCCACGACTGTGGCGCTGAAGGCCCCTCCCTGCACCAGATGGTCCAGGTCTAAGGCTGCTCAGGCTGGTGCTGGTGAGTAGCCAGGCTCTTGGGGAGGCGATGTCAGCGCCGCGTCTCCCTCCTGAGCCTGGCTGATAGGATGCGGTGGTGACACCCATGCCAACTACCCCTCTGTCTCCTTGTAGGACCATCATGTCCTGTTCGTCACCTCTGTGACTCCCTGGTCCTGGGGCCGGCTCCCCTCCTCAACACGTCTCCTTGTCTTTGTACATAGCAGGTGCAGCAGCCCGCCTGGAGGCAGAGTGGGCCAAGGGGATTTGGGGCCCTGGACCACAGGCCCAGCCTGGACCGCTCCCTCCCGGGAGCTCTTGGGTTTCGTCCCCCATGTCCTGCCGAGGCAGTTCTGGCCTCTCTGCTTCACTCACGCAGGGCTTCACGGTCTTCTAAGCCTCTGGGAACCAGGCAGTCCAGCACAGCAGGCTCCACGGTACCTGGCAGTGGGCAATGTCCAGGGCATGGGGGAGGGATCCCCTGTCGGCAGACGCCCCCCACACAAGCCTTTACCTCCAGGGCCCAGCACCCCAGGAACCTGTGTGTGCTCCTGGGTCCCACAGTGCGTGTCAGCCCCATCCTGCAGCTGCTTCAGGGAAGCCCCCTGCCCAGAACAGTATACCCCCAGATGGGGCATCACAGGCTGGCTGCAGTCGGCCATTGGCACCGAGGCCTCGAGCCGGGCGGGCATCTTCACACCAAGCTTTGCCCTCTGTGTGGTCTTTGAGAGTTGGGGGGGTGTTCTACTTTAACAGATGTGAGGACCCTTCCCCAGGAGTTCAGGGGGTTGTGGCTCTAAGGTTCTCAAAAGCATCTCCCTGGACACCCCAGTCCCAAGCCTCAGGGTCTCACTCCTCCCGGCCCGGGGTTCTCACTGGCATAGGAGATTTGCTGAGGCGGCACATTCAGCCTTCTCCGAAATTCTCCGCCTTCCTCAATGGGTTCTTGGTTTTTTACTCTGCCTACTTTCTGGCCAAAGGACATGAGTGACTCAGGGGACTCAGTCCGTGTAGACTACTATCACAAAATGCCATCAACCGGGTGGCTTAGAATCCAGGGAAATTCGCGGGAAATGTATTTCTCTTTAATGCTGATGATGCCAACCCATCTGCTCTCCCTGACTGAGTCGCCCTTCTGGTGCTCCAGCTGAGAATTCTTTGCCTCACCCCAGGTCATGATGATCTCTCTTTGTTTTCTTCTGAATGAGTTGTGGACTGACGTTACGTGGACACCTGTGGCCGCGTGGGAGCTGGTTTTGTGTGAGGCGGGCATGTCACTCGTGTCAAGGACCGTCTGTCTGCCTGTGCACCTGCAGCTGTTCCAATCCCAGTGGGTGAAAAAATTGTCCTTTCTCCATAGAATCAAGCCGGGTTCCATTAATAAATGACCCTTGTCTGTGCAGCTCTGTTTCTGAATGCTCTATCCCGTTCCATCATGGGTGGAACGGATGCTTCCAACACACATGCTCACACCCCTATAGACATACACATGGAGGAAATGATTTCTTAGCCGCCCGTGTGGCTGCTGCCCGCATCCCCAACCTGGCCTGCCAGCCTCCATCCACACGTTTCCTCCCACAGAGCCTGCTGGGCTGTGGACAGACACTGCCTCTAGAGCCCCACAGGTGTCCCTGAGTGTCCAGGCTCCTGCTGAGAAGGGGGCAGCTATGGAGTCTGCTTCAGGGGCTGGATGGTCAAGGGGCCTGGCAGGACACCCTGTCCTCTCAGATCCAGTAGTGGGCAGGAATCCTGCCTGTCACTGGGAGGAGGTCACCATGGACAGGGAACACTGGAGCCTTTCTCTGTGGCCCTTAGGGGCTGGGACCTGCCCACTTGTCTCTGGCCCAAAAGGGCACTGGCCCTGCCTCTCCCCACCCCCAGGGTGGCAGGACACCACCAGCTGCCCTCCCTGCAGGTAATTACAGGGTCGAGCTGACACCTATGGTGCCGCCCCCCGGGGTAACTGGGAGTGGGCGGGGGAGGCAGCACCAGGGCCTGGGAGGCACAAGGGTGCCATTGTGAGCCTGCATCACCTGCAGCCCTGGCCTCCTGCTGGGGCCAGCCCTGGGTGGCAGGGCAGATGCTTCAAGCTCAGGAGCTTCCCCAGTCCCAGGAAAGAACCCGAGAACCCCTGGCTCAGAGAGCAGCGGGGGCTCAGGTCAACAGGGCGCCCTTTTGAGCCCAACCACAGCGTCCAGCCTCTGGCGTCTGTGCCTCTCACCTTGTCTGCGCGTGACATGGTGACAACGGGAAGATGCTGGAAGGCCTGAGGTCAGGCAGACAGGGAGACTGGAGTCACCGGAGCAATGACCAAGCCCCTCTCAGAGGCCAGCTCCTCCTGCCTCCACTCTGCCTGCATCCAGCTCGGAGTGCCTCCCACCTTCTCCGCCCCCAGATGCCTCTGATTGTCCTCAGGGAGCTGGTCCAGGGACCCAACCTGCCCTCAGCAGCAGCAGTGACGACCCTTAGGCTCCCCCTGAAGGCCCAATGTCCCTGTTCCCTGCTGGAAAATTCTCCATCAGCAAATAGTTCTTCCACCTCTGAAATCCTACCAGATGAATTTTGTTCTTAGTAATTTATTGAAGGAAAATTCACGTAAGATCAACATTTTAAAGTGAGCAGTTCAGAGGCAGTTAGGGCAGCCACGGTGCTATGCAGCCACCTCCTCCACCTAGCCCAGGACACTCAGCTCTCCAGAGCAAGTCCCTGACCCTGTCGACCACGGGTCCGCACCTGCCCAGGGAGCTGAGCTCTCGGGTTTCGGGAGGAGGATTTTGCACGATGTTTGCAATCACTGTGCACTTCATGTACCCATTCATTGCTTGTGATCATGTTGGGAGCCTTGGTGTGAAACCGTGGGGTCCACACGCCCCCAGAAGTCACGGCAGCAGAGTGGTAGGAGAGGGAAAAAGGGGCTTCGTGAGATTGAAACAACACTTTTATTTTGTTTTAGCAAAGATGCTTCAGAGTCCCAGGCCAGGGCCTCGGTGCCCCCGGACAGGACTGACTGAGGCAGGGGCCGGGCTGACAGTGCAAGCTGGGGGCACTTCCCAAGCTCAGCTGGGGCAGGACGGCGCTGGGAGAAGAATGGGCGGGTGGGTGGGGTGCTCACGGGTTGAGAAGCGCCAGCTCACCCCTTGGAGCCCTGGTGCACTTCTGTCACCAAAATGAACTCCAAGGCTGCTGTGTCCTCCAGGAAGCTACCTGGGTGCCACTATTTAAACGGCCCTTCCAGGAGCCGTCTTCACCGGGAAACTACCAAACGGGTAAGTGGCCTCCAGGAACCTGCCATGTGACCACACAAACTGCGAATGTGGCTGAGTTTTCCATGTGACAGACTGCAATCCTGCTCTCAGCTGTAAACCTCAATTTCCACCCTGGTATTGAAGGGACCGTTTTTGACTTCTACTGTAAGTAAGTCCCACCAGTCATCCTGGCTGGTCCCAGACACAGCCTCAGAGCCTCGAGTTCTTCAGATGCTCTGAGCCCAAGATCCAGCTCTCCTGGGGCCTGCAGATGAAGCTCTGGGGGCCACAGATGGCCACTGACTGTGGAGAAGGGTGCTCTTCCCCGGGAGCAGAGGAGTCAGCAGCATCCAGGCACAGGCGGGGGCAAGGAAGGGCAGGCTCAGCTGGAGCCCGAGGGGGCTGGGTTGAGCCCATGGGCCCTGTCTTGTGCCGATAGGAGCTATGCCAGAGTGTGGACAAGTCCCTTAGTACCAGAGGCTGGGCGGCACCTTTGTGCCCAGCCTTTTCCAGCTGTCGGTGCGTGGCCCGGGGTGGGGGACACCCACGTCCCTCATGAAGCTCTGGGGGCCACAGATGGCCACTGACTGTGAAGAAGAGTGTCCTTCCCCAAGAGCAGAGGAGCCCCAGCGCCGGGGCACAGGTGGGGGAAGAGGAAGGGCAGGTGCACGGGGGTGAGGAACCCTGGCTGTGGCTCCTGGGGACACAGGATGGGCAGGGGAAGACAGGGGGCGTGGGCAAGGGTGGCAGGGGCTGGGCCAGGCAAGATGTGGTTTTATGGAGTGAACAGGAGATGGGCTTGAGTGACCTTTTTGGACAGAAAGCCAAGTTGGGGCTGCACAGCCCGGTAGCTCCCCAAGGCCCTGTTGTCCAGCCCGTGTTGCTGCCAGGGCGTCACTGCTGTGGGAGCAGGGCAGTCTCAAGCCCCTGGAGGGTCCTCTCTCATAGTCCGGAGGGGCAGGCGGGAAGGAGGGAGCCGGCTGGTTGCTCTGTGAGCTGTTCTCATGGCGTGCGCCTGTAGTGTCCTGTGGACCTTGTTGGGGAAGGTGGGTGCAAATAACGTTTGGGCGTTTGGTTCCAGCAGTAATGATGGGATCTCCTCCTCTTTGGCAGCCTGTGGGCCATTGTGAAGCCAGGTGCCTGCTGCTGGGGGCGGGCCCTGGGCCAACACCCAGGCAGGTGAGGCAGGGCAGCAGGCAGCCCTCTGGGGACACAGGTTCACTCGCAACCCAGGGACGGAACTGTCTGCTCTGCCAGGAGCCGGCCTCCTCTGCTTCCTCATCTCCAGGCTGCAGGGAGCAAGTGTGTTTGAGACACTCTAGGAGCTGGTCAGAAGACACCCAGCCTGCGGGAGGCGGGGCCTGAGCCCAGTACTGAAGGGGACCTGTCGGGGCAGCGGGTCTGGTCCTTCCCACCCACGGTGCGGTGACTGGCGCAGAGGGAACAGGCCCCCCATCGCGGGCAGGGTCCTCTCCATCTCGAGGGCAGGCTGCGTCTGAGGCCCTCTCGCCTCTGGTTCTCTGCGGCTAAGCGCCATCAGCCTCCGCAGGGGCTGCTATAGGTTCTGCTTGGTGCTCCGTGAGTTTTTTGGGTCTGTGTGCTTATAGTTTTCATCAAATGTGGATGCTTTGAGCAGTGATTTCCTTACTACATGTCTGCCCTCACCGTTTCTCTTCCCTGCTGGGGCTCTGTGTAGGTCAGACCCCATGAGGGTACCCCGTGTGTCCCAGGCCCTGTCCCTTTCAGCCCTTTCCTCGATGCTCCCTTGTGGGTGGCTCTGCTGCTGGGCCCCGCACCCGCCCTGCTTCCCTCGGTCCGTCTGCTGTGAGCCCACCGGTGCCCTCATCACGTCAAATTCCATGCTTCCCGTCTCCAGGATTCCCATCTGGCTCTTTATTCCCCTTTCAAACTTCACTGAAGCGAAATTCACAGAATGTCAAATAACCATTTTGAAGGGCACAATTCTGTAGCAATGAGTCCACACAGCCCGATGCGTATCCATGACCTCTGCGTAGTTCCAAAACCTTCCCGTCACTCCCAAAGGAAGCCCCGTCCCCTGCAGCATTCACCTCCCACATTCTGTCTCTAAGGATTTACCTGTTCTGGGCATTTCCTATCAATGGAATCACAGGCCATGTGACTTTATGTGACTGGCTCCTTTTGCTTCACTGTTTTCAAGGCTCTTCCATGTTGTAACCTGTATCAACGCCCTGTTCCTTTTTATAGCTGAATAATATTCTACCGAATGAATATACCCCATGTTTTTTTTTGTTTTGTTTTGTTTTTTTGAGATGAAGTCTTGTCCTCTCTCCCAGGCTGGAGTGCAGTGGCACAATCTCGGCTCACTGCAACCTCTGCCTCCCAGACTCAAGCAATTCTCCTGCCTCAGCCTCCCTAGTAGCTGGGATTACTGGTGCATGCTACCGTGCAAGGCTAATTTTGTATTTTTAGTAGAGATGGGGTTTCACCATGTTGGCCAGGCTGGTCTCCAACCCCTAACCTCCAGTGATCCACCTGCTTCAGCCTCACAAAGTGCTGGGATTACAGGCCTGAGCACCCATGCCCAGCAGACCCCATGCCTTTAATCCACTCATTGTTTGATGGACTCTGGAGTTGTTTACATCTTCAGTTCTTCTAACAGTCCAGCCACAAATATGCACATGCAAATATTTGTCTGAATTCCCGTCCTCAATTCAAGCAAAATTTCTGGGTCATAGGATAACGATATGTTTAACTTTCTGAGAAACTGCCCACTGTTTTCCACAGGGGAAGCCCCGTTTTACTTCCTGGGTCTTTTCCACGCCTGGCACCTTGCTTCTCATCCTGCTCGTGCTTTCTGGGCCCTCTTGAGCGAGCAGAGATATTTATACCGGGTCTTTAACATCCTGATCTGCCAAGTCCATCATCGCCGTCATTTCTGGGTCTGTTTCTATCACTTGATTTTTCTCCTGGTTACGGCTTATATTTTCTTGCTCCACTGCCTGCCTGGTAATTGTTAACTGGATGTCATATTTACTTTGTGGATTTCACTTTGTTGCTTTGTTGAGGTGGCAGCTGACCTCCAGGATGACTTCCCTTGTGTGACGCCTTCCACTGAGTGTGGGCTGGACCAAGTGACCCACTTCTAATAGAAATGACAAGGAGGAAGGGATGGCGCATGAATCAGACGCAAAGTGTGACGTCAGCCCCACTGGTCCTCATCCCACTTGCTGTGGGAAACTGAGTCACCAGCAGCCCCAGGGAGACGCTCACGTGGCAGGAATCTGAAGCTCCCAGAAGCCGTCTGGTCCACTAGTTTCAAGACATTCTCCAGAGCTCAAAGTCCCGGCCCAGAACATGACCACAGCCTCATTGCAGACCCTAGGCCAGAGCCACCCAGCTGGGCCCCTGTCCCATTCCTGAGCCCCAGAAATTGTGGTTTTTAGCAGCCGTGTTTGGAGCCAATTTCTTACGCAGCAAGAAATAGCACACTCCGTTTAGTTTTTCTTTGAATCGTGTTAGACTGCGTGGCTGCAGTTAAGTTGTGGTTAACAGGATGGATGTTCCCAATTCGTGCTTTTAATTGTATGCGGATGGGTTGAGAGCCCCTATGTGTAGTGAGCACATCTGCACAATTCAGGTTTCACTGCAGCTCCGTGCAGCTTCCTACAAGCAGAGGCACTCACAGAGGACGGGCGTTCCTCCCCTGCTTTCTGAGGTCACCCAGCTCCGACGTGGAGTCCTTTCCCAACCGCTTGCTTTCACTGTACTCTCTGAGGCACCTTGAATTCTTTCCTGTGTGAGATCCAAGAACCCGTGCTTGGGGTCTGGACCGGGACCCTCTTTTCCGACATCTCCCCGTGCACCGCTCTTGCCGCTCTGTTAAAGGTCAGTTGCCGTATTTGTGTGAGTCCGTGTTCGGGCCCTCTGTTCTTTCCCATGGATCTATGCACCCATTTCTCTGCCAATACCACATTCGCTTGGTTACTATTGATAATAGTGCTTGTAAAGTTGGGTAGACTAACTCTTGATACTTTATTCTACTTCAAAATGGCATTAGCTACTGTAGCTCCTTAACAAATCTGTCTGCGTACTACACACGGCGAAGTGCAGTGGCTCACACCTGTAATCCCAGCACTTTGGGAGGCCAAGGCGGGCAGATCACTTGAAGGCAGCAGTTCGAGACCAGCCTGGCCAACATAGTGAAACCCCCTCTCTACTAAAAATACACAAATTAGCCAGTTGTGGTGGAGGGCACCTATAATCCCCAGCTACTCTAGAGGCTGAAGCAGGAGAATCATTTGAACCCGGGAGGCAGAAGTTGCAGTGAGCCGAGATTGTGCCACCACACTCCAGCCTGGGTGACAGAGCAAGCCTCTGCCTCAAAAAACAAACAAACAAAAAATACACACACACACACACACACACACACACACACACACACGTCTATATCTGTCTACCAAGTACCTTGCTGAGAATTGGATGGGAACTACATTAACTCTCTGGATTGAGTGGGGAGAGCGAACGTCTTCACTGTGTTGAACCTTCCAGCCCACGAGCGCACTGTGATTCTCCGTGTCCCTAGGGCTTTGATTTCTCTCATTGTCATTTGTGGGGTTCAGAGTGTCAGTCCTGTCCGTGTTTGGTGAGACTTTTGCCTGCATGCTGTGTGTGTGGGATTACAAACACCGCATTTCCAGTTTCGGCCTCTGTGGACCCCTTGCATCGTGGTAGATTTCTGTGTGATTGACCTTGCCGACCTCACTCGGCTCGAGGAGGGTTTTTGTAGATTTCCTGCCATTTTGTACCTGGGTAATGGTGTTCTATGTGAACAGAGCCCGGTGTCCTTCCCCTTCCCATCTGCATGCCTTTCCGTACCGTTCTTGCCTCGTTGCCCTGGCCAGAATGACCTGCCCCGACGGGAGGGAGAACAGGAGCGGACACCCATGTCTTGCCTCAGCACTCACTTGCTCTCCAGAGACTGGGACACAGGCTCATGTGTGAGTGACAAAATGACGCTTCCCTGTGGGAAAAAGGGCTTACAATATAGACCGTGGGACAAAGTCTGGAAGTTCACTGACGCCTGACAGCGTCCTCCACTTCCAGCCCGTCTTGCCTGTGAGTCAGAGAGGAACTGCACTAGCAGGCAGTGAGCCCCCGTCCAGAGGCTGGCGTGTGAGGGGCACAGCTGTGCACACCTGGGTGTGGCTGAGCGGAAGGTGCAGGTCAGGATTTGGACCATGCAGACAGCCACCCACTGGCATGACATCTGTGGCATCACAAGGCTGCCATGGGGCTCTAGGGCCCTCTGCCTGCCCCACAGGCCAAACCCCTGTCCCGGGCACAGCTGTCCTCACTGCTGGCCTCTGACCCAACATTGTCCAGGAGCCCCGACCCAGGAGGTGCTCCCACCACTGCCTGCCAACCTGGACCTGATCCAGGCCCCTCCAACCTGAGGCCCTGCCAGGAACTGCCCGGCTGGACACAGAGGAGGCTCTTTCGTGGACACAGGGAAGAGCCTCCCATTGTCCCAGTGCAGGAAGCTGCCCGAGGGGTGAGGATGAGTCATGGGTTTGAGGAATGGCATGGTGAGGCTGTGGGCGGGGCTCCTGTCTGCCCTCCTCCTACATAAGGCCCCCGAGCCCACACTGCCTCGGCCTCCCTCTCACTCCAGAGCTCAGAGCCACCCACAGCCGCAGCCATGCAGTGCCTCCTGCTCACCCTGGGCATGGCCCTGGTCTGTAGCGTCCAGGCCAGTGGCGTCCCCCAGACCGAGCAGGACCTGGAGGTCCCAAAGGTTTGAGGCGGGGGAAGGGGGCACATTACTGTGGGAGGCCTGGGGTGGGTGGGAGCTGCAGGCAGGCGGGAAGCCCAGGATCTCAGAAACCTACAGGAAGCACAGAATGGACGCCATGATGTCAGGAACTCCTCAGCCCTGCTCTCCATCGTTAGGGTGGCCTCTCTGGTTTCCCAGCATCCCAGGTGACTCCCTCAATATTTGGACTTTGGAACAGTCCTGAGTTAGCACACGCTGGTGGTTTTAAGTACAGGAAATTCCGTAGCCCAGCGTCTGATAGACAGCAGACGGCCATCCAGTGCTCACTGCACCCATCCCTGTTAGACTCAGCCCTGCCTGCATGGGGTGCAATGAGAGCCACAGTGGGGTGGGGACCCCTGTGCAGCTGAAGGCTCCCTCAGTTGGCAGGGACCTGGCACTCCATGGCCATGGCGGCCAGCGACTCCACCCTCCTGGAGGCCAGGGATGCCCCTCTGAGGATCTACATCACCTCCCTGATGCCCACCGCCGAGGGCAACCTGGAGATCATTCTGCACAGATGGTGGGTTCCTCATCATTGGGACTGGGGTTGGCGGGGGACTCAGTATTCCCCCGTAGGGGTCCAGGACTGGTTGGGGTGGGCAGAGCTGGGCTCAGCCCCAGGCGTTTTCTGACAGCCAGGAGCTTCACTGTGGCCCCTCCATGAGGGTGGTGTGGTAAACTGGGGTGGCAGACGGTCCCTGTCCCCTCAGAGCTCCTACCCCAGGCTCTGAGTCAACAGCCGACCCCACAGAGCAGCCTCAGGTCAGACTGAGGAGAAGGTCTGGGCGGCTGCAGGCTGCGGTGCTCCTGGGACCCAGGGAAGTTCCTACAGTGACCTGGTTTGAGGGGTGACACTGAGGGCAACTCCAATTCAAGCGGTCACCGCATTTTACTGTCACCGCCTTTCAGGGAGAACAACAATTGTGTTGAGAAGAAGGTCCTTGCAGAAAAGACTGAAAATCCAAAGAATTTCAGGATCAACTGTGAGCATCCCCGGTCCTCAGGGGCTGGCTCAGTGCTGGCATCTGGCCGCAGTCTCCCAGAGGCGGCTCTGCTGGAGGGTGGGGGATGGGGCCTGTCTCGTCTCAACTCTCTCTGCTTCAGGGAGTCAGAGTGTTTGCTCTGCTCAAGCTGATGCTGAGCCCAGAGGCATGTTTTGCCTGGAAGGGAAGGGGAAGCACTGATTCTTGGCATGACAGTGACTGGACGTGGGTCTGCACTGTGCCCGGGCACAGGGGACAGGCGCTGTCCGTGCACTGTTCACTCCGGCCTCACAGCAGGTCAAGGAGGCTGCAGGTGAGTAAGTGGGCAGACGGATAGCTGGGCAGATGAGCAGGTGGGCATGAAGGCAGGTGAGCAGGTGGGCATGAAGGCAGGTGAGCAGTTGGGCAGGTGGGTAGGTTGCCAGGTGGGCAAGCGGGTAGGTGGACAGGTGGGTAGGTGAGCAGGTGGCTAGGTGAACAGGTGCGCAGGTGGGCAGGGGAACAGGTGGGCAGCGGAACAGGTGGGCAGGTGGGCAGGTGGGCTCAGTTCCATGGACCTGGCTGCCCCCTGCTCACTCTGGGGCTGCAGCTCTGGCCTCAGGCCGAGCTCCCAGGCCTCTTTGTAGGAAAAGAGAGGGACCTACCGTATGTCCTTGCTCACTAAATTCTTCATAACAATTTGCAACATTTTGTTCTATTTTGTTAATTATTATTTTTTAAAAAGACAGAGGTGGTCAGGGTCTGGGGTCTCTTATCCCCTCCCGGGCAATGGGCCTCAAAGATTTAAAGGAAGGACACAGAGGGAATGTCTTAAAGCACAGTTTTTCAGCAAACACAGTTTGCTTCTCATGCTCGGGACTTGCCTGAGGCCTTTCTGACCCTGCTTGCCCTCCCCAGAATCGAGGCACTCGCCAAGGTCCATTTCTGTCCCCTCTTCCCGCCCCCCTGCCCTGTTCCTGTGCGGTCTCCCAGCTTCCTCACCCATCTTGACTTCTCAGTTGGAATCTGTCAGGTCACATGCCCCTGCCTGCCATGTCTGCCTCCGCACTGCACGCCTGGCCTGTCCCTTCAGCCGGGGCTCCATGTCCCTCCACGTCGCCTCCTTATCTCTCTGGCTTCCCTGGCCACGGCCCACAGCAGGGGCCACAGTTCACAGCAGGGCCCACGGCTCACAGTGGTGGTAGACGAGGAAGCCACTTAGTTTGGTGGGATGTCCTCACGTCTGCACAAGACTCTGCTGGGACGGAGGCTTCATCTTCCTTTAGGTTCTTCTCTTCTTTCCCAGATATGGCGGTGAACGAGGTTACACTGCTGGAGACTGACTATGACAAATTCCTGTTTCTCTGCATGAAGAGCACCGTCACCCCCAAGCAGACCACCATGTGCCAGTACCTGGGTGGGTCTCAGAGGGCATGAGCTCAGCGTGGGTGAGAGGTCGAAGCTACGTCCATGGGAACCCTGGGGAGATGACAGCTGGCTTCCTGTCCACCTCGGTGCCTGGGGGCTGAGTTTTTCTGTCTTAGTTTTTTGTTTGTTTGTTTTCTCTGAGACAGGGTCTTGTTCTGTTGCTCAGGCTGGAGTGCCGTGGCGCTATCTCAGCTCACTGTGACCTCCACCTCCCAGGTTCAAGCGATTCTTGTGCCTCAGCCTCCCCAGTAGCTGGGGTTGCAGGCGCATATCATCATGCCTGACTAAATTTTGTATTTTTTGGTAGAGAAAGGGTTTCACCATGTTGGCCAGACTGTTCTCCAACTCTTGACCTCAAGTGGTCCACCTGCCTTGGCCTCCCAAGGTGTGAGATTACAGGTGTGAGCCGTGGCGCCTAGCCAGGCTGAGTTTTTCTCCAGTGATTGATCCAGTCCTCTGACACTGCATCAGAAACTGGGCAGCAGGGAGCTGATATGGGGCCAGTGGGATGGTCACCAGTCAAAGGGCTGGGCTTGGTGGAAAGATTAATACTCACTGGACATCCAGTCAAAACACCCTTAAACCTACGAAGTTCTTGTCCAAACTAAGGCTGGGAATGCTGAATTAGACACATGGGCGCAGCCCTTCCCTGTGTTTCTGAGCACAGCATTGCCTCGGGGGACACACAGGTGTCTTCTTTATCAGCCTCAGCCATGCTTGGTGAGAGCCGGACACTGGGGAGGCGGGCACTGTGCTCCCGTGACCCTGTAGACACCATCCTGAGCTGTGTGGACCCCAGCGCTGCCCAGAGTGGAGCAGAGGGGGCCCAGCTGAGGAGTGGGAACCTCGAGGCCAGGTGGACAGAGCCCCGGAGACCACCCTGGGGGCCTGCTCCAGACCAAACTCTGCCTGACCTGGGAGCACTGGGGCCTCCTTCCGTGGCCTCCCACCCTGGTACGGCCTCTGGAGCTCCCCAGCTCTCATTCAAGCCCCAGAGGCCCAAGACTGAGCCAGTCTCCCCCACAGCCAGATCTGAGGAGGCAGACAACGAGGTCATGAACGAATTTTTCCGTGCTGTCTTGACCTTGCCCGTGGACTCACGGATCCTCATGGGATGGCACCATGTGCCAGGTGAGCTCTGCCCAGGACAGGCCCAGCCTCGGCTAGAGGAGAAGCTCCGTTTTTCTCAGCCCAAGTCCCCCACTGGCTCTGGAGGACTCAGGTCACTCCTTCTTGGCCCCTCCCCAGTTCTCCCCCTGCCTCCTGGGGTGGGGTCCCGCCCCCTCCCATCATCCTCCCATCCCCGCTCTGGCCCTGGGGCGGCTGTGTCCCCAGCTGTCTCTTCTCTCCCTGACACCCCCACTGCCCCCTCTCCTCCCACAGAGCCGTGCCCTATCTAGGAGAGCTCCTGCCTGGTCCTGCCTGCTGGGTAACGTATCCGCCTCGCCCACAGCCTGGGGCTGCCTCTCTGGGCCCCTGGGAATGACCCCACTGTGTCCAGTTCAGGGCTGAGCCTGCAGGAATGAGCTGGGGTCTGGCCTTGTGATTCCAGAAAGCCAGGCTGCTGACGTCCCCGTCCACGCGCCCAGCCTGTGTCCTGCAGGTGCTGTGTTAGTCACCAGCTCCTGCCCTGCAGTCAAACCGCATGCTTCTCTGGGGGTTTGGGTGTTGGTTGGAAGTGGTGGGGCTGGAGGAGGAGGAGGGAGGATGGCTCCATGGGAGGGCGTGAGAAGCTGGGACGTGAGGTCTCGGTGCCACTTTTTTTTTTTTTTTTGAGATGGAGTCTCACTCTGTCGCCAGGATGGAGTGGAATGGCGTGATCTTGGCTCACTGTAACCTCTGCCTCTTGGGTTCAAGGCTCCTGCCCTAGCCTCTCAAGTAGCTGGGACTATGGGCACCTGCCACCATGATGTCTAACTAATTTTTGTATTTTTAGTAGATACAGGGTTTCACCATGTTGGCCAGGATGGTCTTGATCTCTTAACCTCATGATTCACCTGCCTCAGCCTCCCAAAGTGCTGGGTTTTCAGGGCCACATTTTTAAGGGGGTGTCCTAGAGCCCACCCACGTCCTTCCAGGACCCCCCGCAGCACCCTGCTCCTCCTTCCTCTACTTAAGTGACCTGTGAGACTCAACAGCTCACCTCCGCCTCCAGGAAGACCAGACCCCCGCCCAGCCACACCTCCAGCATCGTACGACCTCCCCCTGCCCTTTCAAAGAATGTCCACGGCGCAGAAGACGACGGCGTGGCCACCGTGTTCCGGTCCCTTCCTGCTGCACACCTGCACCTCGGGCGTGGGGAGGCTGCTCCCTGGGGACCGCGTCTGGCAGAGATGATTAATAAACCCATACAACACGATCCACCTGGACCACAGTCACTGCCGGGGGTGGGATTCGAGGACCGGGGCCGTGGGGCAGGCCCAGCCCACCGTCTGGCAGAGCCAGAGCTGCCACGAACCCAGGGGCAGCGTCTGCCGGAGAAAATACCTCAAGTTTCTTATCTACAGGATGAAAGATTTGTGAAATGTCTAGAAAAATCAAACCAAACCACTCTATCAGAATTGATGAGCCCAGAGGAAACTCACAGTCTTAATACTGAAATAGGTTCACAGGAAAGAGTTAAAATCAACGAATCTGTTTCCAGCTTTTGTTAGAAAAAAATCATTAAGGAAAGTAAGAAAATAGAATTAACAGAAATCAAAGCAAAATGTCAAAATCAGAGAAACTTATCAAGTTCCTGCGCCTGCACCCCGTGGTGGTGGGTAGGGGGCGGGGGCCTGCTGGGATTCAGCTCACCTGTCAGAAACACCTGGGAAACAAGTCCAGCAACTGTCAATGAGCTGATTGAGAGGAAACTGATGAAAAGAATCCTAGGGGATTTTGCCATTTGACGCCGGAACACAGACTCCCCAGCCATCACACTCCCTGCCTCGGGAGACTCTGGAGCAGGAAACCCCCTGGGGGTGTCAGCCACTCCGCAGGCATCACCCTCCCCTGCCTCAGAGCGCCTCTTGCCCCAAATGAGACTCAAAAGCCCTGCTTGCTGAGGGCTCGGGTCGGCCAGCTGAGTTTTGAGGTCCCTCAGGCACCGGGAGCCTGGGTGGAGACTCCGGGTGATGCCCTGCCCGGGGCCCCACTGGATACGGGAGGCCCCTCTGAGGTCAGGCTGGCCCTGCCCCAGGGGCTGACACACAGAACGAAGGCGCTCCAGGTGCTCAGGGAGGAAGAGCCTCCCACGGGCACCACTGGGGGCAGGGGCACCGTGCTCTCTCGGAGCTCACCCCAGGCGGCTGAAGGAGGTGGGTGGACTATCTCTGGGGTCAAGTCTTGCCCAACCCACCCTCTCCAAGACTCCCTCCCTCACGTGCCAGGCTGTGGGTCTTCAAGAAGCTGATCTCCTGGAAGCTTCTCCCATGGGTCAGATGAAATTTCACTCCAAATCTTTCACTTTGCAATGAAAGGCTCATCATGAAGCTTAACGTTAAAACCACGTGTTTGTCAGTAATGTCAGACTTTCAAAAGCTAAGGGTTCACTTTCGGATGAAATGGAAAGCCCTGGAAAGCATCAGGCCCAGGACCCTGCACCGACAGTCAAAGGGCCCGGCTAAGGCTCCCCTGAGCTTTGTGTCCTCATCCCAGAATGAAAATGACCTGGCCCCAAATATGTGCCCAGGGTGCAGGCCGTTGGTCCAGGCACCCCTGGCTCCCTGTAGTGACAGGTCCAGCTCCCGAGCCGCTCCATGCTGCCCCAGGGCACCTTCCCCCTTTCCACCCACAGTGACCCCATGTCTTCCTTTCCCCGTCAGGAGGCTGGTCAGGACTGGTCAGGCTCTGGTCCACCTAGGCCTGAAGATGGAGCTCCCCTGCTGCCCGTTCCTCACCAACCCCTGGCCTGGGGCCCTCCACTCCCGGGTGGCACCCACAGCCCTGAGGCCCTGGGCCACCCACCCTGGACAGAGGAGATGAACGAGGTCAGGTGGTGTGGACCCTCAGGCGCCCAGGAATGAGCTGGCCTGGAGGCCGGGGCTGGGCTGCGTGTGCTCAGGACCTCCTGAGTGTGTCGGGAGGGGCAGCACTGGTCACCCATGGGCTGGTCACTCCCCAGCAGCCAGGACTGCAGTCATCAGACGAGACGGCACTCAGTGCAGGGGCATGTGCCCACCCTTGACAGGTCAGCGCCTCGGCTCTGTCCACTCGGCCCCAGCGGTCCTCCTGTCTCAACCCCCAGCATAAAGGCTTGACCTGGTCCTGTGGACCTCACAGGAGGGCATCCCCCAAGGCCCCTGGCCAGGCTCCTCTTTTGATGGACACAGGGTTGTCTTGGGACTGGTTCTCCTGCCTGCCTCTGAAGCATCTCTGGGCCTCTCAGGCCCACACTAAGGAGACCAAACCACACCCTGTCACTGCACTACCCGCCCCCCCCCCCCCCCCCCCCCCCCCCCCCCCCCCCCCCCCCCCCCCCCCCCCCCCCCCCCCCCGGCCTCTGACTCCCACTCCACCTCCTGGCCCCGCCCCCCTTTTCCTGGCTCACCCGGAGCCCCTCAGCCCTGCTCATAGATGGCTCCCGCTGACCCACCAGGTTTTAGGGAACCGGCACGTAAAGCGCTGGGTGGGCACCGTGCCCACCCCTGTGGAGACGCGGACTCACCCGCTGCCTCCGTTCACGTTTGTCTCCAACCATCCCCACATGGTGGCACTCCAGATGCTCTTCAGCTTGTGCCCCGAGCCCAGCACCCTTCCCAGCTCCCACTGCGTCTTTTCCACCCCAACCCTCTCTCCCATCTGATTCCTGAGCTCAGCCTCGGTCGCTCGGGGCTGAACATGACCTCTTCCCACGTTATCTCAGCAACACGGCAGCATCCTGGCCTCTCCCAGGCAGCCCCGTGTGGGTGACCCCCCATATAGGCACCGAGGAATGAGAGCCAAGCAGAGTTAGGGCTTGAGGAATATCTCACTTTACGGTGTTACTACTCAGCTATTTCCTTTTATATAATCCTTTACATAATCATATATTAGTTCATAAAATTAGGACTTGAAGAATCCCTTTATATAATCCTCTCTATATAATCATTAATAGTTGATAGTATGAGTGCCTAAAGAATATTTCCCTACATATATACCTGTAATTATATCTTAGTTCATAATCGGAGGAATGTCTGGAGCAGACACAGTGCAGAGCATGAATTAAGGGAAAACAGTTATACCAGGGCAAGAACCCATGGCCCAGGCGGCAGCGCTCAGTATCGTAAAGATACCCGCTGTATGGCAGGCTTGGGGCGAGAGCCACTCCTCCTGATAAAGGAGTTGTAGGACCTTGCTCCAGTTCTTGTGGAAGGCTGCCCTCRGAMYGGCAATCCACCTTGGTGACTGTGAACTTTATCAGCTCTTGCTACTGTGCTGCTTGAAAAGCATCTTCCCATAGAACCCATTGGAAGCTGCCAGAAGGTGGCAGTAACCTTGACAGCTCTGTCACTGCTGTGTGACTTAAGGCATCCTCCTATAAATCTTCTTAGAAGCAGTTTTCCCATAGATAGAAGTATCGCACACTGCACCCTCTTCGCTGTGCACGGCCCACCTTCAAGCCTCGGTGACCTAATGGGGTGGACCCCTTACTGCACACGGCCCTTGCCTTCGTGGGAACGGGCCCCTTGCTGCGCGCTGTCCACCTCCTGGCCTAGGCGACCTAATGGGGGTGGACCCTATGTTTTATTGCTCACAACCCTATCACTATCCTTAAAGATAATTTCACTCACTGCCCTGCCCCCTAACCTATACACAATAAATACTCACAATTCTGGACATTCAGGGCCTCGCCTGGCCTCACCAGCATCGCCTGACTCCACTCATAGTGGCGAGGCCCCCCGAGCCCAGCTGCGTTTTTCTTGTACTTCTGTGTCCTGTCTCTTTATTTCTCGGATCCTGCACCTCAGCACAGAATAAGGCTCACCCCACGACGCTGTGGGGCCCTCAGCCTTACATCTGGCTCCCAATGTGCCCTACACCCCGCTCCCCAGGGTCCTGGCCCCAGCCCGGATATCAACAAGCCCAGCATGGAAGCTGCTCCATCGGCTGAGCTCTGCGCCGGGCACTGTGACACCAGCTTTCCATGATGGAAAAAGCCAGCAGCGTCGGTTCTGTTCTCACTTCTCTGCAGGAACACAGTCTTGGGCTGAAAGGTTTTGCTCAAGATCGCATGGTCAGCTGGAGGCTGCCTGCAACCAGCTCCAGAACTCAGCTCAGGAGGATAGGATGGCTTGATCCACATCCTGGAGAACACGGTGGCTTTCCCCAACCTCTCTTTCCCATGCAGCCCTGCCCCACTCATCCCCTTCCCACCCTGTCCCCTTCCCACCCCGTCCCCTTCCCCATCCCACCCCGTCCCCTTCCCACCCTGTCCCCTTCCCACCCCATCCCCTTCCCACCTGGTCCCCTTCCTACCCTGTTCCTCTCGTCCTGGGTCTCCTCCCCCTGTGTGACCGGCTTGGCTGGGTGGATCCCTCCCCAGCTCTCCACTAGGTGTCTACACAGTAGAAATTGTACTGAGGCTTTCTTATGAGTGGGGGGAGTATTACCATCTTTTAGTATTTATTTTATTTTATTTTATTTATTTTGAGATGGAGTCTTCCTCTGTCACCCAGGCTGGAGCGCAGTGGTGCGATCCTCACCACACTGCAACCTCTGCCTCCTGGGTTCAAACAATTCTCCTGGCTCAACATCCACCCAGTAGCTGGGATGACAGGTGCCCACCACTACGTGCAGCTAACTTGTATATTTTTGGTAGAGATTTTTAGATGATTTTCTTTGAGATGGAGTCTCCCTCACAGGAGTGCAGTGGCGTGATCTCGCCTCCTTACAGCCTCTACCTCCCAGGTTCAAGTGATTCTCCTGCCTCAGCCTTCTGAGCAGCTGGACTACAGGCTTGCACCACCATGTGTGGCTAATTTTTGTATTTTTAATGGAGTTGGGGTTTTGCCATGTTGGCCAGGCTGGTCTTGAACTCCTGACCTCTGGTGACTAGCCCGCCTCGGCCTCCCAAAGTGCTGGGATTATAGGTGTGAGCCACCATGCCCAACCATATTAAATAAACATATAAATCATGCGAGAGAATTCATAAAACAGGATATTCCATTTAAGGGAGACAAAGTTAATCCCTGTGAACCCTGCCTCCTCAGCCAAGGGCTCATCAGCCTCATTGTGCCGCCTAAGCCACTCTGCACATGGAGACCACGCCCTGAATTCTCCTGCTTTCTCTGCCTTTCTTGCTGGCTTTACCACATTCAATGCTCTCCATAAACAGCTCTCCTGCTACTGACTTTTCTATACATGAAAGGGCACCATCTGTCTTCTTTCAGATGC